CCTAAATAGCTGAGATATTTCACAAAATACATCAGGCCTTGACAGAACTTGGCTGAGAAGCTGAGCTTGTGTGGGAAAAAGAGGGAAGAAAGAATAAAAACTCCATCACAAGAACACCCAAAAATGACTTTGCTTGATTTATGCAGTTATTCCCTTTCTGTCGTCATATCCCCAGTAAAAAAATCCAAACAAATGATGTGCATGTGATGCTTTAGAACAAACAAAGCAGTATGTGTGGTCCCTGCAGCCTGGCTGCCAGGGCATGAAGAAGGCTGAAGTTCCCTGTTTGGGAAATTAATCCCTCTTTTGACCGTTTTCCTCTCTCAATACAACCTATTTAGGGAGACGATCGTATGAAGCTCCCAAGCCCAAATGACAGCAAGTTCTTCCAAAACCTTCTTGATGAGGAAGACCTGGAAGATATGATGGATGCTGAAGAGTATCTTGTTCCTCAAGCCTTCAACATCCCTCCTCCCATCTACACCTCCAGGACAAGAATTGATTCCAACAGGGTAAGAGCAAGCTCTGACAGAAAATACTGGTTATTATAAAAGCACAGGTGGAGATTTAAGTACACTAATCAAACACAGGCCAGAGTTGCCTTGAGAATTACAAGCTCCTGTTGTAAGGAGAGTGACTATAAAAATGTTGTCGCTGGGTTCCTTGTTCATTGTGCCTCAGTGAATTCTAAATGAGTAGCTCAGCCTTGAGTGAACAAAGGCTTGACTTCAACTGCCTGTCCTGAAAATGCGGCTGACGCTTCTGAAGTCAAGCAGTGCTTTTTCTCAGTTACGTACCATCCTGCCCAGGAAGCGCATAGCTCTGATTCTCCCATCCCTGCAATCCTGTTGTCTTGGCAGCATTGGCACTAGTGTAACTGAGGGCAGCTGGAATATACAGATAATGCCGCTTTTGTGTCTGGAGCCAGATTTCAGACCCAACCCCTCTTCCTGTTTGTACATGATGCTTTCACAGCCCTCCTTCACAAGCATGTGTTTTTGCTGAGTGCATCACAGATTTTAGCATGTTGATCTTTGTGACATCCCTGTCAGAGGAGGAAATGCTGTTCATTTTACAGGGGGAGCTGAGGCACAGAGCGTGTTCAGGTGGGATTCAGCTCACTTAACTCTAACCATCAAAAGGATACTGAAATAATCTAAGCTCTTCATCTAGACTTCATTTCATGTCATTGGAGAAGAGTGGGTGCATCCAGCGGGTGATTATTGCTGCCTGCCTTGGACATTTATGGTGGAATAAGTTGCTTTCTGGAGGTGTCTTTCTCTATCCACTGACTACTGACAGATCCAGAGCAGTCTCAGACCTGGTGCATGAGATCTGGTGAACGGGATCCTATGCTAAATGCCTCAGCCTCAGTGCCACAGGAACCCCACTGCAAGTGGGGCCGTTTCTGGAATTCTTGTTCTATCCTGATCTCCCTGCCCACAGCTCACACCTCTGCCTGGTCCTGCACTTGGCTCCACCCTTTTAACAGTTTAGGTGCCACCCCTTGTCAAACTAAGAGATGGTGAAATGCATTACTAATGCAAGGACATTCACACAAGCATCGGTTGTATTTAGTAATTAGGGACCTTATTTTCTTTCCATGCTCCTTTTAGTGGAAAGTCACATTTTAAATACTAAATGGAGTCCCATTGAAATGGTTGGTGTTTATTCCTCATGCTTTAGAAACCTTTTGGACATTTGTCCTTAGCCGAGATAGTTCCAAATTCATACACTGGTGTGAACTGATTACACCATGTGAGGTAGGGAAGAGGTAAGTGAAGGAGCTGAGTGTATGAACTGGGTCAGCAGTCATGCTCTGACCGTACACTGCATGAAGTTCTTCTGCCTCTCCTGAGTAAAGCAGTGTTTTTCTGTAACAAGGACAAAATCTGATCTTAATAATATCCAGTCAATTCTTAAGGAAATTGCTACTGTTTTTTAAAGGCAAGGAGACTAAGAGAGGTCTTTGGAAGAGGCTGGGTTGTCATCCCACTGGCTAAGCTGGATTCACGTAGCATTTCTGCTGTATCACTGAAAGGCAGGGAAGGGGGGATGATGCACGCCTTAGCAATAAGCAAGAAACTGCCTCTTTGTGGCAACAAGAGTTAATTTCTAGTGTTGATGCTGATCTGAAATAAGTCACTTCTAGCTGTCTCTGGAGAGGTTCTGTTTCCTTTGCTGCCAACTTCTGAGAAAAGAAGGAAACTACAATAGTAACCTTTGAAAGATGCTCACTGTCACACTGATGTAAATCACTGTGTCTTAGTTTTACACAGTGGAGTACTACCATTTACAACCATAGGGTTGAGAGAGCAGAGTCAGACCCATAAGGTTTGCTATATTCATTTCACTCCCATATTTGCTGGAAATACTAGGGTACATTTAAAGGAGAAAGGATTAGTCGGAAAATGTACTTGCCTTTTCAATAGTTCCTTTTACCCTCTGTCTTTAGTGCCAGCTGAGCAGAAGAGTCCACTTGAGCTGAGGGGATTAATTCCAACAAAAATCCTGGATATTCTGAAAGAGTTATTTAAAATGTGCTGTTTGGGCAGCCAACATGCTCACTGGGATGTTCATGGAAAGCAAATGCAGGCATTTATTATTATTATTGTTATTACTATATGAAAATTCAACTAACTTTCTTACAGCCTTTTACCTGACTTTAAACTACACTGTTGCAGCCTCTTGCATACATGTCAGCAGAGCTGCAGAAAGAGACCCTGTGCCTTTATTTTTGCCACACAGAGGCTCCATCACATTCTTGATGTGACGTCTCCTCTCTGCAGCTCACAATTTCCCATCTTTGTTTGAGACTGTGATCTTGTACCATTAAAGTCAGTGGGAGCTTTACTTTGCAATTCAATTTAATGACAGTAGCAAGACTGTATCTTTCTTTCAGTAACTCCTGCTGATGGGAATTTTTCTCTGGCATCGTACAAAAATCTACCACTAAACAAATCTGGAATTACCCTTTGTCAAAAGTTTTCAGATTCTGAGTCAAGTTTTCTGACCCAGGTAACCTCAGAGAGGGCAGCCGGGGGACAGAAAGATTCCAGCCAGCTCTGTATTTTTGCACCCCTTCGTCTTTATAGAGTTTTTCTTTATTGTAGAAGCCTCTTCATGGAGGGGTCATTTTTAAGGCCAAAAGAAGAGATGGGCAAAGAAGTTGCCATTGAACAACCATGTAATTTATAATAGCACTTGCTGGTTTCATTGGAGACTGCTTCCTGTTCCGTAACAGGATTACCAGGAGAATTTTGGTGCTTGTCCAGTGTCTCAGATTAGCTTCAGTCTCAGCTTTGTTTGCTAACGATTCTGCATCTCCTAAATGTGCTGCTAGTACTGCCATATAGGCGAATGCCTCTAGATTGCAGATTGCGGGGGGTGAATCCGGGCCAAGTTGAAAGCCCCATAGCATCTTAGCATCCCTGGTTTCCTTTGCAGAGAGGTTTTTTCTGGATGTAATACATTTGCTTCCTCTCTGTGCAGAAAGCTACATACTCGTCTGTTGTCTTTCTGAAGCACTCAGGTTCTCAGTACATTAACTATTCTTCCAGTGAAGATTTGTCTTGATTTAAAACAGAATACACAGTAGCTCCTTTAAGGTAATAGTGCATCTGCTGTGCGTAGTTCAGTACAGATGGATGTCAGCTGCATGAATCACACAGAATTGAAATGCTGTCAGAGCTCTCTATCTGCAGTTGTCTGATTCTATCTTTGTGTTTCCTTTGGATAGCTGTGTTTTATGCTTGTGTGGTGTAGTGAATATTAATACACAAAGTTATTGTGGTGCTGCTGCAGACATAGATGCCAAATTAATTGTCGCAGCTTAGGTAGTTTGTGTTCACTGTGTCTGGCAAATTAAATTTTATGGGGAGATGGCCAGGCAATTTGGTGAAGTAAAACACAGAGACAAGAGCTATGTGATCTTCGTGTCATTTTCAGAGATCAGAAGCATGAAAGATACTGTATTTCCCATCATTGTTGTTCTGATTGTAGTTTTAGTGAAGAAAGAGTCAGTTACATGATGGCAGAGTATTGTGCTCTTTCTCTGGACATACTGTACTGACAGGTTTAGTGAGTGTTCCAGCAGCGCAGCCCTACTGTGGACAGAGGTTTGCCAGAAGAGAACAGGGAGGTCGTGAACCTCCTCACACTTAGGCTTTGAAGTCAGGGAATTAAGGAATGAAGAGCATTTACTTTCTAAGGAAAGCTCTGAAGTTTCTCAGGGTGGTCTCGATCCCAAATCCTTGCAGCTTGTTGTCTGGGAGAGGCACCACTGGTTGAGGTTTGCGTAAAACACTGCCTGCCTTCTCCCTCCCACGTGAAGAGGAAAGCTATTTGGATATGAAGTAATAGCACAGAGCTGCAGCCCGTGGAATGAAGGCTGGAAAAAGGGAAGCCTTCCAGGGAGTTTCCAGCTCCCCAGGAAGTGTCACATCCTTCTTCCGAGGATTACTGAGATTTATGAAGCTGCGAGGCTCAGGCACAGCTTCAGCATTTCCATCACACCCACACTGGCATCATACTAGCATGTGTTTGGGAGCAGAAGCCTATGTGCCACGCTCTAGCCCATAACAGTGCCCTCTGATATGAAATCCAGCCTGAGACTGATACCGTTTTTAAATAAAAATTAGCATCCTAAGCTAAATTGGATTTTTTCGTTGCATCTGAAACTCTTCAGTTGCAATTTCAGCTCTTTGGCTTTTTCCGGCTTTTATTTTCTGTTGTCTAGAGATATTCTAGAAATATGGAGTTTTAGAAGCTCTGTGCTTCTGAGAGATAAGCTGAATCCTCAGCAGTGTTTCCATGAGCACAGGACCCCAGCTAGTGCTCAAGTGTCCTACATTCACAGCCATTAAATGATTCATTCAGGTATTTGTTAACAAGTACTGTCCTGTGTGCACAGAGATAATACTAATACAGAAAGCACTCTGTGTACCCCATGATGCTTTTTGCTCCAAATCCTTGGCTAATTCCAGCTGAAAACTCTCTGTACTGTTTATTACTCACTGATACTGCCCCTGTAATTTTGTTCCATATGCTATATATCATGGAAGCACCCGCCAACCCTGCAATTAAATGTCAAGCTATTTTTTTCAGAGATGTCTAATTCCTATGTCCAAGGAGACTATTCTGCTTGGCTAAAGCAGACTCCAGTACACCAAAAGCCACTTTTCAGTTCTCTGAGTAGTGACTGTTCTGTCATTGCAGCAGTCCTGGTGCGGCATTGGGTCTGCCCTGGTGCGGCATTGGATCTGGTAGTGTTTTGTGGCTGAACGTCTGTGTGTGTCTGTGTATAAAAAGATTATTCCAGAGAGAAACCAGGCAAGAAGTTATCTTTACAATTAATTTGTTCAGGTTTCTAAATTTGAAAGGTAGCCATTTTCAAATCACAAGATTACAAAGGAGATGGTTGTTAGCGATTTTCAGATGTGTTTCACATCAGTATTGGTGTGTGGTGTCTTTCCTTCCAAAGCTTGTCTATCAAAGGGACTATTCACCCAGT